TGTGTGTGTGTGTGGTGTGTGTGTGTGTGTGTGTGTGTGTGTGTGTGTGTGCGTGCGTGCATGACTGTGTGTGTGTGTGTGCGCGCGTGTGTGTGTGCACGTCTGCGTCGCATATACAGGGAATGTGTGTGTGTGTGTGTGGTTGTGTGTGTGTGTGTGTCTTTGTGAGTGTGTATGAAGTTATGTATGTGCATGTGCACCTTCGCGCATGGGCATGTGTGTGATCATGAGCGAGGGAGGGGTTGGATTTGCAGCGTGATGCAGAGGAGACTGATTCAGCTTGCAAAAGCGAGGGCATCGCGGGCGTATCCAAGCAGGCGGATCGATGCACTGCACGTTGATTGTGTGGCACGACCAAACGCGTGGTGCGGCTTCCGCTGCCGGGCGGGCGCCTTTGCAGCCGCTGCTGCCGCCACCGCCGCGCGGCGGGTGCGTGCACGCGTGCCTTGAAGCGGTGCTCGGGGAACGGCTTGCAGGCGCCGGCCGCAAACTCCTCCAGGCTGTAGGCCGCCGGGATCACACACGCCCTGCGGCCGGGGGCGGTCAGGGCGCATGATTCGCCGCCCGTTGGCGTCAGTTTGGCGCCACAAGGTCAAGCAGTTGCCCCGAAGCCAGGCAGGAACAGCTGGGAAGACTTAGAGGCTGCGATCAAACATGCAACGTGGACAATGCAGCTCATCCTCATGCCGAGCTCAGCTTTGGCCCCTGTGCCCGCCACTGCGGGGCGCAGGCCGCCAGCACGCGCAATGGCCGCCTGCAGTGTGCCCGCCCCCGGTCAACAGAGAGTTGAGACATCGCCAGCTGGCGCATGTCCATACCTGAACACGCCATCCTTGATGTCCCTCGCCAGCTCAGCCTGAGGGATAGCATCATGCAAGAAATATCAAGGGGGATTGAGCGCCGGCCGCTGGCGTGGCGGCGGGGCGCTGCCCGGCCGCCTGAAACCCTTGCAGATTCACCAACGGCGGCACTACGCGTGCGCGGGGCGCCGGGCGGACACGAGCTAGCGCGTCGACGCGGTTGCGCAGGGCACCATCTGTGACAACACGTGGCAACAGCACACCTGCGCCTTGCGCGCCTTCGCCGCCTCCTCGGCTTGCAGCGCGGCGCGTGCCGCGGCCTTTGGAGCCATGGCTGCGATGCTTTGAAGCCTTCTCCTAAGTCCTAAGCTAGCTCATTCGCAACGTTCGGCGCGTCATTGGGCGGCAGATCAGCCCGATGCAGTAAGATCAGCAGTCGCCAAGCTAGCAGTTAGACGGTTTGACATTTCAAGATGGCTGCTGCAACACGGTCGAAGACATGCCGCCAGATTTCAGCTGCGTACCGGTATCTACAGTGAACTCAGGAGCTGCTTCCGACACAACTGCAACTAGCCCCTTGATTCTGAGCACGCACTTGTGAAGAAAACTGATTCTGAAAATTGATACGGTTGCACATTGTGTGTGCCCGCACCTAGATCTGTATTCAAATTGTAGGCAGCAATATGGAGGCCCGCAACCAGGCCTTCGTGGAGAGATTCTGCGCCAGCATATTGAGTGAGCAGCAGCTAGCCCAGCTGTCGCTGGACCCGGCAGAGCGACAAGAGGTGCAGCAGCGCGTGGCGCAGCAAGCAGAGGCCAGCACGCAGGCGGCTACGCTCGCCGCTGAGGCTTCCCGGCAGGCGCAGCACTACGAGGCGGAGGGTGAGCATTCTTCCATACAGGCGCCACATATGTGGCACCGAAACGCCGTGAGCGCTTCGCATCGCGCGGCAGCGTTGACACACAGGCCGCGCACACCGTACAAGCACTTTGACCGCCTCGGAGGGACGCAGCAGTGTGGCAGGCGCACGACGTTGCAAGTGTGCAGCGCTTGGGAAACGGCGTTGACATGCGTGCCGCGTGTCAGCTTTGTTGAAGTGGCGGCCATGAGCAGCTGCAGGTGGTGCAGCAACGGGCAGGGCTGTTGGCAGCAGTCATGGCTGAAGGAGCGCATACCCTTCCCCACCCCCTTGCCATTCCTCCTTTCAAAGCCCGTCTGGTGCAAGAGGTGCTGGAGGTCGCTGGGCTTCCCCTGGACAGCCTGTCCGCGCGCGCGCAGCTCTGCGCCTCGCTGATCGCGGGCGTGTGCGGTGCGCTCGGGCTGGCGCGGCCGGGCCTGCCAGAGGTGCTCGCCGCGTGGGCGCAAGTGAAGCTCAGGGAGAGCAGGGCGGTGGTGCTGCAGGTGGGGGCGGGGCGGAGCAGGGGGTGCGGAAACAGGGGGGGCCGGCGGTCGCGAATGCAGCTGCAACCGAAGGGTCGCCGGCCAGGTGTTCGCGGAGGTGTACCTAGCGCCCCACAAATGCATGGCGCAGTGCACACCCAATGCGGTCGGTTCCGCTCAAGGTTTGTTGGCCGTGGATGGCAGCGCTCACGCCCCTGCCATGTCTGCCGTGCCATGGTCCCGCCTGCCAGGCCAAACTTAAGCAGCACTCTGCGGAGGTCGAGCGGGATGCGTCGCGGGCGCGCGCACGCCTGCAGCAGCTGCAGGCCGCGCTTGCCAAAGTGCAACACCAACAGCACGCGGCGGAGCGGCGGGCGCGCGCGGAGGGGCAGCAGGTGGCTGAGCTGGAGGCTAAGCAGCAGGAGTATGGGAAGACCCTGGAGAAGTGCGCCCGCAAGCTTGCCGCAAACGGTGCCGTGCCAGAGGTGAGCGGCCTGCGCGAAGTTATGAGCTGCACTCGCACTTGCAGTGCTGTGAAAGTTTGCGTACATCGCTGGGGTTTCGGCAAGGCAAGGGCATGCACGTCACTGCATGGATGTGTATATTTGCAAGCGTGTGTATAAATGCCTCACACACACTGCATCCTGTAACCATGCTCTGAGCCGGCGTTTCGGAGCGCTCGATCCCGGGCATGCTGTGCCATGCAACGCTGTGCCCCTCCACCATCCGGGCGCAGATCCACCACTCCACGCTTGTGGAGAAGCGCGCCGCGCTACAGGAGCTCCAGGCACGCGCGGCCGACCTGCAGCAGCAGCTGGCGTCGTACCACAGCCTGCCGCCGAGCGCGCTGGGCGCGGGCATGATGCTGCAGCAGGCGCGGGAGCGGCTGAGGGCGGCGCAGGAGCGGCTTGAGTCCGGGCTGGCGGATTTGTAGATTGCAGCTATTTTCTCTTGTTATGTCGCTGGGTCATGCTGCTGTGTAATGACCTACGTTGTTATGCCCTTGCTGTGTAAGGACCCAATGTTGACACGGCATGATGAGTAGATACGGTGCGGCCTGGTTGACATGCTGCACTGGATGCCTGCAATCTGAAGCTGGGTTGGTCTGCAACGGCGAGATTGCGTCGCAAAAGAGAGCAGCTATCGCTGGGCTCTCAGGCTACCGTGGACTTGCTGCCACGACGCGTTTGTCAGCCACCGCAGCTCGCAAGCCCGCATGGTCAGCTGTGTCACCGGGCAGGGTGTTGACTTTGAGTATGTGCAGCATCACCATTGGCCGATGGGTCATCACTTGGATGCTTGTAATACCAAGAAAAACGTAGCCAGTATGCCCGAGCGCGAGCGGCCTGCTGCTAGATCGCGCCAAGCCCAGCTTGGTGGATGAAATCCCCGCAGCCTCTGGAGCGAGATTTGAAACAATATGGGCGCCATGCAGGATGGATCTCCCACGCTCACGGGGCTGCTGCGGACCAGCAACGCACTGCTGCACTCCGTGTGGTCCCTGCAGCATCGGCTGGCCAGCAGCGAATTCTCGCAATACCAGCGACTCGTGGCGGCCTTTCCTGAGGTATGGGATCGCCACATGGCGCAGCCGTTGTCGCGCGCCTGCTGCCGCGTGCCGTCTGCCCTGTGTGGGCTGTCGCGCGCACCTGCTTCAAACTGCACAACCACCTCACCGAACAGTTCTGCACAAAGCTTCAGAAGCGCTTCCTGGAGCACCCTGTCACGGAGATGAAGCTCGATAAGGTGCGTACCCCGCCGGCAGCTGCGCCTTGGTACTGTTGACCAGAATGCCCCTTTCATGCCTCCCCTTGTGGCAAACCCTGTGCAGAGCCTGTGCCCAGATTTGATCATACCCTGTGGCACGTGCTGAGCAGAGCCTGTGGCACACCCTGATGCGCGCAGCCCAATGAGCAAGAGGCGCTGGCGGCAATCAAGGGTGCCGCGCGGGAGCTGGTGGTGGTGCTGCAGCCAGTATACGACCTGCTGAAGGCGAGATTAGGCCACACAGCGCCTGGATAGCATAAATGGAACCTGCTGCTATGCATGCTATATTCCTTCGTATTCCCAAACATACGCATCGGACGTGTCGCGCCGCACCGCGACTGAAACCTAGGCCGCCTCCATGCCGCCATGCAGCCGGCGAACGGGCGCCATGCCATGCGGGCGCATCGCACGGAGCTGCGGGGAGATGTGTCTCCCTCCGCCCGCCACTCGCGCGCCCGCAGGAGTGCCTGAAGTTCCAGTCACGCGCGGAGCGGCTGCTGGCGGACCTGCATTCGCTCATGATGCCGCTCACTGTGAGTCGCGGCCGCTCTCAGCTGCACTCACGCACTCACGCACTCACGCACCCGATCGCCCCCCACCAGACCGCCACGCCCTGCAAACCTCTGCTGCATGCACACTGCTGCATGCGCACTGCATGATGCACATTGCATGACTGCCCCATGTGGGGTCCTTGCCGCACATGCGTTGATCCGCGTCCCGCCTCAATTCGCCCCGGCCGCGAACAGCTGGGCGGCGCGCCGCTGCTGGTGCGGGAGTACATGCGGGTGTTTGCCGGCGCGTGCCGGCTCGTGCTGCTGCTGAAGAGCGTGCCCCGCAAGGACGTCGTCCAGGTGTGTTCAAAAAGAGGACGTGGTCAAACCCGCTGCTTTGACGCCTGTCAAGCTTTCACACGCAGCCTGAGCGACAAAGCAGTGTGCCTGAAAGCCGAGGTAGCACACAGGCATGCCGCAGCACTGAGGGAGACAGGTGGTACAGGATTCTCAGGGGTGCGAGCGGCTGCGCTTGTGTGGCAGGCCAAGCAGAACAGCCTCACCCAGGCGGTGGGGACGGCGCGGCCATGTACATGCTCCCAGCTGAAACACAACGAGCATGGCATGGAGATGCCGGACTTGATCCAGTTGCCGATGCTGATGCATGCATATGAACACGTTTCAATCAACATGCCAAACCAACCCTGCGCAGCTGTACACGATCGCCTGCCACGAGCTCGTCGGCCGCGACCCCCCCGGCCGGCGCGCGCTGTGCTCGTTCCTGGCCGCCTGCGATGCGCCGGTGTCGCTGCTGCAGCATCGCTTCCTCTGCGTCAGCCAGCGCGTCTGCCAGGTGCGTCGGCCGGCTGATGGGCGTGCGCCTGTCGTTTGAGCGCCGGGAAACAAATGGGGTTGTGTGGACAAAGAAGACCTCTCGGCTGGGCGCCCGCTGCGGGAAGCGAAGGGGCGGGTCGTTCCACGAGCAGCCACGCCCGCACGCCTTCCCCGTGACGCGTACCCCGCGCTCACCAACCTCACATCGCTTGGTTCGCCCGTCGCCGCGCCGGCCGCGCTGACATTGCTTGTGCATATGCGTTCATGTGTGCCCCGCCCTTTCATTTCGCGCCCCCCGCCGCCACAGATCCTGGAGCTTGTCGTGGTCCCGGTGCTCAACAACATCGGAAGCGCCGACATCCTCGCGTCTTCCGAGGTTGGGCCGCAGCGCAGCCTCCGGCCGCTGCCCGGCGCTGCTGGGTTGCAACGGCAACCCAGCTTGACGCCCGAATGGCAACCTTGGGTGCTCAGAAACCCATGGGTTGGCAGGGTCCGGGCTCGCGCAGGCGTCGTGACCCTTGTTTTACAAAGCACACCTCGATCAAGACTCCTGCAACCTTCACCCGGTGTCTCGACTCGCTCACGCCGCGCCTCATGCCCAGATCCTCGACACCTTTGCGCTCGACCGACCCCACACCATGGGCATCCGGGGGTTCACCCTGGAGCGCTCCTACCAGTGAGTGCAGCCCCGCAGTTCGGCAGCCCCAGCGGGCCCTCGCCGCATCCGATCCGCACGCCCCCGCTGCAACGCTCACCCGGCAGGGCAATTCCACCACATGTGAAACACCTCTCACATGGTGGAGCGTGCGACGCCCTGCGCTGCTCTTTCACATTTGCAACACATAGACTGCAGCAAACCCTGGCCAGCCAGAGCGCTCGCGCGTCACCATGCGCCTCAAGGCTGCAGACCTCTCCGACGTCTCGACTTACTTGCCGCCCCGCCTCCGGCCACCCCCCAGGATGCTGCAGGACGCAGACGAGTACCGCTCCTGGGCACTCCTCGGCTTCCTCGCCTGCCCCGCCGCCCTCGCCGGCCACGGCGCGCGGCGCGCGCTCGCGGGCCTGCTGTCCGAGGCGCTCGTGATGCACGTGTACGAGGACGCGGTCGAGCCGCTGCACCCGCTGTTCGAGGCGCACGTGCGGCCCGGGCTAGAGAAGGTGGTGGAGGTGCGCCGCGGCGCGTACGCTGCCGTTCAGGCGTGGGTGTGGCGCTTGCTGGTTTGAGTTAACCGGGCGGCAGTGGACCGCCGTCCGCAGAGGCGCAAAACGCACATGTATGCCCGCAGAGTGTTTTTCCCGTCGATTTCACACTTTCCAGCCATGGTGTGTTGTCTAGAAGTTGTACGTTTGTTTACTCATGCTCAACAAAGCATGGAATCAATAAACCAGGTGATCAAGGACCACGGCGCGGACCGCAGCGCCCGCGAGGGCGACAAGGCGGCGGCGAAGTCGCTGGTGGAGGACGCCTGGCGCGCGGCCGCGGCGGGAGCGGCGCGGGAGCACGCGCTGCGGCGGCTGTACGTCTGCCGGCAGCTGCAGGACATGGCGGACGAGATGGAGGTGGGGCGGGGGCGGCTGGTTTACGGCGTACTTCGTACCTTTCTTTGAGTTTGCAGAAGTCAGAGCTTGTGCCCTGACACCACAGTTCGGGTTCAGTCGGCGTCAACTTGACTGCAAGCGTCAGCAGGTGCATTTATGGGCATACATGGCTGGCTGCTGCTGGGGCGGGCCGCTTGAAGACCCTCAGCCCAATGCGGCCCGCGTCGGCCTCGCTCTTTGCAGGAGGTGCCGTGCCTGCTGCCGCGCCGCATGCCGGCGCTGCTGGCGGCCATGGCGTATGCCAAGGCCGAGCTGCTGTGGTACTTCAGGTCAAGATTGGGGCTTTAAACTGGGGCTTTTTGCAGCGGTCGGTTTTTGTCCTGAGTTGGGGTTGTCTTGTTACCATCGTGCTGTGCGTGTATTTTAATGGTGGCAGGGAGGAAAGTCTGCATGCTGCTTCGGGACGGCTCAGCCTGCAGCGAGCCAGTTGTGCTGTTCGACTCGCTTTTCCCTTGGGCGTCTGCGGGGCGCCGCGCCGGACGCCCTGAGGATGCGTGCAGCCGCAGCCAAGCACGCTTGGCGACGACGGCGCTGGCGCCGCCGTCAAACCGTGTTTGCGACGTGCACCCCTGCCTCAGGCACACGGGCGAGCCCATGGCGGCGGGGCCGCCCAAGGGCCCGCTGGGCGGCCAGCCGACAGTCACCGTGCCGAGCGACGTGCGGGTGGTCCAGCTAATGGCGGCGATGGCGCGGTTGCAGCAGCTGCTGGTGGGCGGGGTGAACTGGGGATTGTGTGGGTGCGGGGTAGCACGGCCGGCCCCTGCCTCTTGCGCGCGCTGCCCCGCTCGTGTGGTGTCAGGTCATGTTATCGGGCCGGTGCTTGCTACGGCGCCCGCATAGGCCTGCAGGGGATGACCCTCGTGTCATTATGATGCAAAAAGGCAGGTGTCGCTGGGCTGACAATGGGGGAAACTGCCGTTTGGCAGGTTTTGGCTTACCAGGTTGCGTTCTGCTCAATAACAAAACTGCAGGTGCGGTACAGCGGAGCGACGCGGATGTTCGTGCAGCAGCGCATGCGCGCCGCGCTGCTGCAGCAGCTGGTGGCGGGCACGCGCGCGATATCGGCGGCGGCCGCCGCGCAGCTGCAGGCCGCGCAGCGGGGCGTGCGGGAGGCGCCGCGGCCGGGGGACGCGGGGGCGGCGGCGGCGCTCAAGGTGGCGATGCAGATGGCGGACATAGCGGACACATTGCAGGTGAGTAAGTCTATTTGCTACAATGGTGGGCAGGATATGATGATGACGATGCAATGCACGCGCCATTCTCGCGCTATGTCATTGTGTTGTTGCGCACCACCGCTCTTTGCAGCCAGATGGATCGAGGATGGGAAGGTGTACAGCCGGAATGGGTCGCTGCCTGCTCATCACAGCTTCACCTATCTGAGTACATCCACACCCGACGCCCCCTTTGCCGCATGCATGCGTGCCGCGCCCCCCCTTTGGCCTCAGTTCATTTGCACCCAGGCGGCAGCGGTCTGCGGCGCGGTCGAGGGCGAGGAGGACGCCAGCCACTCGGCTGCGGCGTCAGACGCGTCCGGCTCAGCCGCCGACCCGGGTGCCGCCAGCGGGAGCGGCGGCGGCGGCGGCGGCGGCGCCCCGGAGCGGCCGTCGCGGCCCGGCCGCACATCAGACGCCGCGGCCGCCGCGCTCGTCGTCGCGTCGGCGGCGCCCGATGCGGCGCCGACCGCGCTCGCCCTTGCGAGCGGCGTCGGCGCCGGCGGGG